AACACCCATGCTTGAAAGTTAACATTATTGAAAAATAATTTACCAACATTTTCAAGTTACAAACGTCGATGTCGAATTATGAACTTTTCTCCCATTAGATTTACCGACTTCTTTCAACATTTGTGGCCTAATTCATAAAAATATTAGGTGGCCCAGGGAAATCCAACCCAAAAAACAGTCCTGTTGATAAATTATTAACCTCTAGTTTATTAAGTACACTTGTAGGGTTTGAAAAAAAGTTAAAAGTCACTAAATTATTGGGATGTTAGTAAGTTACCAATTAATTTCAAATTTTACCTGTGTAGTTTAGTAAACTACTAACTATAATGAATTTGACAATATTTCAATAAATTTGTAAATTACTAACTTCTTTATAATGTTACAAGTTGGTTAGTATATATCCAATCCTCTATAGAATTTACCAACAACACAATAAATTAGCGAGTTACCAATTATTTTTGAAATATTACAAGAACGGTTAGTAAGCTATGGCACTATAACGAATTTACTAATATCCGAATAAATTCGGAAGTTATCAATTTCTTTTCAAATTTTAAAAGTGTGCTTAGTAAACTACCAAGAATAAATTTCTAAACTCTGGTAAGTTATTAATGTACTAAGATGTTGGTAAATCCATTGTAGTGTGAGTAGTCTATTAAACACACTGTAAAATTTAGAAGCAGTTAATAACCTGCTAATTATTTGGATGTTGATAAATTCCTTATAACGATGATAATTTACTAACCATACTTCTAAAATCTAAAAGAAAGTAATCTTAAATTCATGTAGAAGTCGGTCCATGATAATTATGATTATTTGTTAATAGATCACATGACAAGCAAGTCACTGATCATACTTTTTTTACAATTGTATTTGAAGCTACCATCAACTTAAAAAATCTATCAACCACCGGAAATTTTTCATGACTGGACCCTCGATTCCTCTTAAATAATGAGATGTACTCACCTTGTGGAGAATTGTTTCTAAACTTTACACGAATCCTTTATCGTGATTTAGATCACATGCAAATTTTGTTCCGATTTCTTGAAATTGAGAAAGCAACATAATCTTAGGAAAGGAATCCGTTGAACATTGGATGGCCCTGTGCCATTAGCAGCAACAGCGTAAAAAGGACGAAAATGGAATTTGCTAACATATTTTCACATCATTGACAAGCATAGCATCATGATTATAATAACACAAAGTATTGCTAAATTGCTGAGCAAGACTAAATTACCAAATGACATGATTTGCACTCCCCATGCCGTTCCATTGACGGCTTGCTCAGACAAGCTTGAAACTAAAGAACACAAAAAAATTGGCTACTACTCATAAGGAGGAACAAGCCAACTACTAAGACGATTCTGCTTGAACAAGAAAGGAAGAACTTCACGAGATCAATAAAGCATCGGACTGATTGATGTGGAGAATAGGCCTGTTACGCTCTTCTGAGTCTCCTCCTCAACTCGGCTACCTTCACTGCAACAATCACGTACACCATGTCTCTTTTACGATCCACATAGTCGAAGTAGGCGCGTCTCCAACTCTTCTTGTACACCAAACTGCCAACAACTCCCCAAAACCCAATTGCAAACCCGAACATTATGACAAGGTAGAACATCACCTTTTCAAGCTTACCTTCTTCATTGGCATCTTCTTCTGACGCTTGAGGGGCCTCTGCACCGGGGCATTTCTTTTGTAGAGGATCGCCACAAAGTAGAGGATTGTCGGCATAAATAGAAGGATCATCAAGGGTTTGGATTTGATTTCCTCTGGGAATTGGCCCCGTGAAGTTGTTGTGAGACAAGTTTAGTTTGCTCAGTGATGTGAATGCAGAAAAGCTTTGCGGGATTGTTCCTGAAAGGTGATTGTTCGAAAGATCTAGTGACTCGAGCGATTTCATGTCTCCAATCATAGTCGGGATGCCTCCAGAAAGAAAGTTGCGCGATAAGTTCAAGCCCCGCAATCCAGAAAGCAAGGTAAGCTCTCTAGGGATCGGTCCAATCAATTTGTTGCTCGAGAGATCCAAATTGACCATAAGCTGTAGATCAAGTGTTGTGTAGTCAAGGTCCACCCTTTTCACGACCTGCTCCACATGCTCTTGATTCCAATCCGTTGGAGCGGTCGCGTTCGGCCCAAGCACGAGTGCAGGAGCATAAGCAGGGGAGAGTGAGTTGCCTTCATCTATGCTTTTGTTCAGTTTCATCCCTTTCATATAGCCGAGACAATTTGGAATCATTCCTGTCATATTGTTCACTGCCAGATCCAATATTTGCAGCGCGGAGAGTAGGCATAACTGTGAAGGAATACTACCATTGAACACGTTTCCTCGCAGTCTAAGAATCTGTAGTAATGGAAAACTTGGTCCGATCCAATGTGCAACACTTCCAGAGATTTTGTTCTCTCCAAGATCCAATATCAGCAAGGTTCTGCAATAGTTTAGAGTCACAGGAATTTCGCCATGGAGACTGTTGTTGTTCAAGTGTAATGACGTCAGGCCGATTAGATTTCCCAAAGAAGTCGGTATGACTCCGGACAACATGTTGGATGATAAATCAAGGAGTCTCCAAGGGTTCTCTTCCAACACGTAGGAATTTCGCCAACTAATTCATTCTGTCCGAGGTGCAAGTCATACAGATCTTCCATCTCGCATATTGAGGTGGGTATTGAACCATTTAAGAGATTATCATTCAGATTCAAGGAATATAAATCAGGCATCGCTAGACCAATATTTTGTGGAATAGGTCCTGATATTAAGTTGTGAGAGAGATCTAATGAAGACAAGTCAGAAGGAAATTTCGGCAGAGATCCATTTATTTGGTTGTGAGAGAGATCTAAAAAACCCAGGTTGGAAGGAAAATTCGGCAGAGATCCATTTATTTGGTTGTAAGAGAGATTCAGGTAGAAGAATGACATGAGACCTAGCCAATTTGGGAGAGATCCTGAAATGGAGGCATTGGACAAATCTATGGATTCTGCGTCGACTTGCGTTCTCATCCATCGCGGAAATTCCATTCCAAACTCGCAAGACGCCATCCACATGTCCGAGAGATTGAAGGGTGGTATCCAGTCAGAATCCACCTCGATAGCTAAATGGTTGTTGCTAATATGTAAGGATGATAGCTTCGAGAGGTTGGAGAAATGGATTTCGGAAACTGTTCCTCTCAAGGAATTTGCTGAAAGATATAACTCTTCAAGATTTTGAAGTTGTCTGAGACTGTGTGGAATAGTACCATTTAGAAGATTGTTACTGAGATCTAAAATTGTTAAGAATTGCAATCTTCCCATTGCCTCCGGAATATTCCCTGTTAATTGATTATATGATAGGTCAAGCCTTTTCAGGTTTTTCAAGTGCACCAACCAATCTGGCAAAGGCCCCTGAAGAAAATTATTACTTATCTCCAGTCGCTTGAAGTTTTTCCCGATAAGCCCCGAAGAATTTCCCTCCACTGAAAATATCTCCCCATGAAGTTCATTATAGCCCAAATATAGTGACTCGAGGAATGAATTTTCCCTTAGGAAAGAGAACAACCCTCCTTCAATGCTTTGCAAGAGATTGTGTGCAAGATTGAGATAGACTAGATTTCTCAAGTTATCGAACCACCTTGATTCTGAAGAGTTGAAAAGGTTTGATGAAAGATCGAGGTGCCGGAGAGAAGTCATGTTTAGAAATATAGTGCTTTGGATGGGACCTTCAAAATGATTTTCTGAAAGATCGAGGTGCTGAAGATGAAGAGAAGTATAATTGGCCAAGTTGAAAGAGTTTGATGAAAGATCGAGGTACTGGAGAGAAGTCATGTTTTGAAATATAGTGCTTGGGATGGGACCTTTGAAAAAATTCCATGAAAGATCTAGGTACTGAAGTTGAAGAGCAATAGAATTGGTCAAGCTTTTAGAAGACAAGTGAAAGTTGTTAAGCCCACAATCTGATAGGCTCAAATGTGATAAAGATGGGAGTGTGCTGATTACTTGCATGAGGTCTCTAGATCTGTTAACATTTATGCGACTCATGTCGAGGTACCTTAATGCCCGAAGATGCGAAACCCATCGAATGTCATTAACAACACCTCTGCCAAAACCATGGAGATCGAGATGCTGGAGAGAAGTCATGTTTTGAAATATAGTGCTTGGGATGAAACCGTCGAAAAAATTCCATGAAAGATCTAGATACTGAAGATGAAGAACAGTAGAATTGGTCAATTGTTCATAAGACAAGTGAAAGTTGTTAAGCCCACAATCCGATAGGATCAAACGTGATAAAGATGGGAGTGTGTTGATCAACTGCATAAGGTCTCCAAATCTGTCAACATTTATGCCACTCATGTCGAGGTACCTTAATGCCCGAAGATGCGAAACCCATCGAATGTCATTAACAACACCTCTGCCAAAACCATGGAGATCGAGATGCTGGAGAGAAGTCATGTTTTGAAATATAGTGCTTGGGATGAAACCGTCGAAAAAATTCCATGAAAGATCTAGATACTGAAGATGAAGAACAGTAGAATTGGTCAATCGTTCATAAGCAAAGTGAAAGTTGTTAAGCCCACAATCCGATAGGATCAAACGTGATAAAGATGGGAGTGTGTTGATCAACTGCATAAGGTCTCCAAATCTGTCAACATTTATGCCACTCATGTCGAGGTACCTTAATGCCCGAAGATGCGAAACCCATCGAATGTCATTAACACCCACGCCATAATAACCATTGAGATCAAGGAATTCCAACTCGGTGAGATTTCCCCATTCATGAGGAACAGTTGCAAAAGAGAAAGAGTTGGACAAGTTAAGGTACCTCAACTGCTTCATGGAGCCGATGAATTTGGGCATGGACGCATCCATGAAAAAGATCCCGCTCAAGTGTAGGTAGTTCAAGTATCTCAAGTTGAGCAAAGAAGAGTTCAGTTCACTAGCTTTTGAAAAAATCCATGAGAACGAGTTTGAGAGGTCAGCTCCTTGTGGAGACAAGAATTCATCTTCCAGTAGTATAGTTTTTGGTAAGATTTGGAGCATGACGACATGTCCATTTGCTCGGTCACATGTCACTCCGGTCCATTGGCAACAATCTTCACCGTTCCAAGAAGAAATGAGGTTTGACTCGTCTAAAAGGCTTTGTCTGAATTGCAGCAGAGCATCCCTTTCTTCTTCAAAGCAAATGGAGGATGAGCTTTTGTTTCTGCACAAGCATAAACATGCATTGTCTAAAATTAACAACAGACTTACTAGTACAAGCACTTTCACACTATCATGTCCCGCCATGAATAATGTTGAAAATGAAAACAAAGGCTATATTGCACGTGAAAGCCACTCGATTAGGCTTCAAGTTTTTGGTTTGGGTGCATTTGTTTAAACTTTGGGAGGTTCATTTTGAGCGAGTTCTTAAGAGTATGCAAATAGCATTTATAGAGAGCAAGAGAATGAATGGCAGTGAATGTAATCAATTATTATTTTACATCGTCGGTGTACCGTGTATATCACGTGTGCACAATTTCATATACCATCTCAGTAATGGGAAATATCACTCGTTGTTTTAGTATTATCCTGCAGCATCCTTATGACTTGACTCCAAATCCATAATCTCCCAAAAAAGTCAAATTTAAGATCATCTCTTTAGATATTTGTGCTTATATTCAAAGATGTTCCTGCACGATTGCATGTCCATTACCATTGATTTGACTGGTGGAGTTAAGGCTTGCGTTGTGACAGGCATATGCCCCAAATAATTGATGAGGCAGTGTTATGATTTGAAAAATCACACTTTTAATGCATTAGCCAGGTGAAAACCCAAAAGGTTAATTGTATCCTATCATCGAGCAATGAAGGATAAAGGTTAGAATATGTGCAGATTGGATTGGGAAACATCAGGCGAAACCTTGACGATTAATGAATAAAATAAGCAAAGACCCACAATTAAATTGAAGTTAAAAAGTGATACGAAGATATTGAGGAACTTGGCTCTGATTAGATCGACGTGCTCACACTTTGGTAGGGCTGGACCACCTGCATGTTTGTGGAAGACTCATGTATGGCCAAGTTTCGCCGTGCAAGACCCGCAAGCACAAAGTTAAGTCTCGAGGTCCACGTCGTTATCTTATGCGACGACTTGGGTCTATAATGATTTGTTTGCATTTTCTCCAAAAGAAATGCAATTTCTAACAGACTTTTAATGAAATGGACGCTTCTCTCTCTATGAGTAAATCAAGCAACTTCCTGGACAATACATGCCGATGTTATGGACGGTGTAGGATCATTCTCTGTAAATGAATAGGAGGAAAAGGCTGGCTTTTGACCTTACATCAATTTCGTTTAACTGGTAGAGTTCATATTACTGCCCTTCCACACTGGAGAACTTCTACGGGTGTGTTCCCATCTCATACGAAATCATGCGCACCCGTGATTTACGTGCCGTGTGAGAAACGGATATCTAATAATTTCAAGGAATCTAATCATCGTTTTGATTTTCGATTGCAATTGGAGGTTTACATATTTCTTTTAATCGAAATTCGTGAAATTTAAAGTCCACGAATAACTCCAACTCAAGTCAACGTTTATCACTTTTCCATTAATCTCTTACTTCATCCTTAGGGTAGTCATGCCTCACTTCCTTGATTGAAGTTGACAAGAGAGGTGTTCGCCTTTGCCCATCGCTGTAAGCCAATAACATCTTCCCTCAGTCATATCAATGTGGAAAACCCGCAAGACCCGCAAGCACCAAGTCTTGAGGTCCTTGTCCTCATTCTTCCATATCCTTTTTCTCCTGATTTTTATGTGTCCATATTTATCTAGTTTGCATTTTTTATTTTTTGATAAGCAAATATCGTGTATTTTTTGTAATCCCATACTGTTCTACAAATGTCCCTGTGGAGCATATAATGTCCCAAAACCCAGTAAAAAAGTAAAAAGGTAAAAAAAAACCCATGTCCTCAACTATCATACACACTCTAATTTATAACAAGATCCCAATTGTCCTGAAAGTTTCCCCAATTTTCAAATAGACCAAACAGCATCAGAACAAACAGCAAGAGCAAAAGCAAGAAACTAGATATAAATGCGATGAAGTCAAAGAATTAAGGGCTGGATACACATTGTGGGAAGTACGGAGCAGAAGCCAATACATTCATCCAGGGAGATCACCAAGAGACAATCCAAGTCCGAACCCATCAATATATCTAGTTGAACCCACATTTACTAAAAAATTTAAGCCAATGAGTTATGTATCAACTAGGATATATTAATTACTCCAAACATATTAATTCTCCGACGTGAGACGTTCTAACATAACTCACATATACATCTAAGCACATTACCATATGCATTAGAACAATCGCACCTTTAGTAAAATGTAACATTGCCATATATAAAAGAGACTAGCAGACTTTCTATTTGATGAGCAAGTCGAAAACAATCTCCTTACCACCAAACTCATTTGATCGCTCGTGTCAAGAATGTGACAAGGCCCAAATAATATGTGATTAAGTCCTGCACATCACGTCGGCCGTGATTAAGTTCTGAAATAGAATTGGTCTATGCATTTGTATGTCATATCATGTCTCGATACATGGTTGGACAATGAGTATAAAATCCACACCACAATACAACAAGAGTTACTAGGATTGTTACTTGCTACATGGAGAGAGTTATTGCATGCAAAGCCAGGCAACTCGGCTTTTACAAATTCTTTTTTGGGCTAGTATGCTTTATCAAGTGAGTTTTGGCATTTTTAGATAAAAAAGAAAATCAGAATTTTTAAAGGGATATATGGGTGTGTTCCCATCTGATACGATATCTGCACACTTGTGATCTATGTGCCATGTGCGGGACGCATGTATGCATCTATCGCATCTAATAATTCTGGGATTCTAATTATCGCTTTGGTTGTCAATTGAAATGGAAAGTTTACTAGTTCCTTTTTATTAAAGTTTGTGAAATTGGAAGTCCCTGAATATCTCCATGTCAAGTCAACGTCACTTTCTCGATTAATCTCTTCGTTCATCCTTAAAGCTAGTCCACTATTCTCTCTTTGTTTTTTGTCCCAGCGTGAGGCAGCTGTCCTAGCAGAGTAGTCATGCCTCACTTCCATAGATTGAAGTTGAAACAGAGGCGTTCGCCTTAGCCCACTGCTATAAACCGATAACATCAACTTCCTTTAGTCACATCACCCTGGATAACCCGCGAGACCCGCAAGCACCAAGTCTAAGTCTTGAGTTCCATGTCCTCATTCTAACAGTAACAAATCCTTTTTCACCAGATTTTTATGTGTCCATATTCATCTGGTTGCATTTACTTCTTTCTTTCATAAGCAAATATCGTGTATTTTTGTTTTTCATAATCCCAAATTGTTCTACAAATGTCCCAGTTGAGCTTATAATGTCCCAAAACCCAGTATAACACGATCCCAATTGTCCTAGAAATGTCGCAAAGTTTCAAAGAGACCAAACAACACCAGAACAAACGGCAAAAGCAAGAAACTAGATATTAAGGGGATGTATGCCTAATTCGGCCATTACACAGAATATTTATAATGGATTTTTTTAGTATAAAATCATATTTCTTCTGCACTGTGCATCTAAGGGGTGTATATAGATGAAGAAATGATGAAAATGTGCAAGAGGAAAAATAACTTAAGCAGTCGATATCCCGAGTATCTCTTTTAGCTCGAAAGAACAAGGTCTCAAATGATCTCTTCATCAAAGGATGATGCAATCAAGGACTTAAGGGCTGGATACACATTATTATGAAATCATGTCCTCCTTCCTTTTATAACAAATGTCAGAAGTTTCAAGTTTCTGTGGCACGAGGGCCTTATTATTAGTAAAATTTTATTTGATGAATTAACAAGTATCAATCAAAACATACGACTTAGTAGGAAGGCTCTCTCTAACTTGGCATAGTAAAATATTACTCTCGGAACATGACTATTATAGTATGGTGTGCACCTAAAAACTTTTTAAAATGTAAAAGTATTGATAGATGGAATCATGTACAACATCAAAAGTTGCAAGTAACCTGCACTGATTCAAGTACACAACAACACGTCTATCGTCCTTTTAAATCGTTGCGTAGTCTGATTTTTAGATTTATATCAAGATTTTAACACCCATGCTTAAAAGTTAACATAATAAAAAAACTTACCAGCATTTTAGAGTTACAAACATTAATATGTCGAATTATGAACTTTTCTTCGATTAAATTTACCAACTTCTTTATGAGTTATTTACCACCATGTCTTGGGCGTGAGGGAGAGCACGAGCACGAGAGGTTCCACTTTTAATGTATTAGCTAGATGAAAACCCAAAAGGTTAATTTTATCCTATCATAGCGCAATGTAGGATAAAGGTTAGAGTATGTGCAGATTGGATTGGGAAACATCAGGCTAAAACTGAAGATTAATGAATAAAATAAGCAAAGTCCCACGATTAAATTGAAGCTAAAGAGCGATACGAAGATATTGAGGAACTTGGCTCTGATTAGACCCATGTGCTCGCGGTTTGGTGGGGCTGGACCACCTGCATGTTTGTGGAGACTCATGTATGGCCAAGTTTTGCCGTGCAAGACCCGCAAGCACCAAGTCAAGTCTCGAGGTCCACGTCGTTATCTTATGCGCCTACTTGGGTCTATAATTATTTGTTTGCATTTTCTCCAAAAGAAATGCAATTTCTAACAGACTTTAAATGAAATGGACGCTTCTCTCTCCATGAGTAAATCAAGCAACTTCCTGGACAATACATGCAGATGTTATGGACGTTGTCGGATCATTCTCTGTAGATGAATAGGAGGAAAAGGCTGGCTTTTGACCTTACATCGATTTCGTTTAACTGGTAAAGTTCATATTACTGCCCTTCCACATTGGAGAACTTCTACCGGATGTATAGATAGATGGAGAAATTATGGAAATGATGAAGTTCGGAAGAGGAAAAAGATAAAATGTGGTACAAAATCATTCGACGTTCCATTCCCGTGAGAATCTTTAATTATATATTATTGAAGGTTGATCTTGTTGCATTCATTCGTAGAAACTCAGATTGCTGACAAGTGTTCTTATGGAGCCATTAGATATTGGATTGCGGCCAATTAGGTATTATCAATTTGCTTCTTTTAGCTCTATATATCCAATGCGGGACTTCTTGCTTTCATATCTCTCACATGTGCACTCGATAGTAGTTTCGTATAATAATTTTAACAAGTTGGCAAACTACAAGCATAAATGTTGATAAATTGTCACAGGAGTTTGTAATTTTGAAGTGACCAAATGAACATTGATGCTCCCCACGATTGTCGATATTCCTGATATATTCGTTTGGCAAGGCCATTCTTCTGGGACATTCTCCACAGCAACAGCTTGGGAGTTGATCAGAATCAAGCGTCCAAAAGTGTTTTGGAGCTCCCTTGTTTG